TCGAGTCTGAGCATTGAGGTAGAAAAGACAATGAACTGGTGTTATAATTTAGGTAATAGTATCTTGAATAAACAAGAAACATGGCAGCTAAAATGTGTTACAGCCTATTCGCTTAAGGAACATGTCACCTTACCATGACCGCTTCTATGATTTTTATCTCTGGTGTCTTTAAAAAGTATCTTCAATTTTCATTAGTCATTGCATTTTTCTGTTTCCCGTTGACCTGACAATCTATTGCAGTATTTCTTTACTCTGCCAAATAGATATTATGGCGCGTACCTCTCCTTCAACTTGGAAATTGCGTTAAGTTACAAACGATAAATGAAGTTGAAGATAATCTCAAGTTGAATGAGACGATTGAGGGCGTGATTTGGGCTCCGATAGTTGGGCCCTGCGTATACACATTCGGGCCATGTCGGGGCTCAACCCTATCGGAGTTCGCCCTGATGGTTTGTTGGAGCCGAACTTGGCTCGAGTCGAACACGTATACACAGCCATTTTTGCTGGCTCGAGCCTCAGGGCTCCAATAAAATGCGGTCGTGTGAACATAGCATATGTAGTACTGTATGTAATCCCTTCTCAGCCAAGTCAATTTTGAGTACACATTGGTGTTTACATCTTCCAAAGTTTTTATGTTCATCACCATGGAAATTTATATTTGCAATAATAACAATAATTACATCAAGATGATTTTTTCAGGCAATGACAATTTTGAGATATGAAGAAATATTTTTATCAGAGAAACCAATGAAAAAACTTAACCCACACTTTACTCTCAACAAAATTGTTTGGTATTAGTAAATAAGTAAATATCATGCCCCCCCCCCCAAATAAAAAATTAGGAATGAGAATACTTACTGTAATGAAAATAGAATAGCAAATGTGGACAGAAAGACCATTGGTAGAAGACAGTATCCAAGCACACTAACAATACAATTAAATGATACACCGGTTAAACTCATCATGTTAAGTAATAACCAGACTGCAACACAACCTACACCACCAATACCATAGATGTAACCAAAATGAACTTTACCAGCCTGAAAAAATAAGAAAAAAAGTAATAAATATCATTAAGGTATAGTTCAAAGCATCTTCACCAGATATAGCCATTTATTCGGCTGTTGCCTCACTATTATACCTTGGCTGAAATGTCACTATAAACCTACATTCACTCTCAATGAAATGAAACAAAGTGCACGCTTTGGTGCATTTCCATGATGTTAAATACAGTTTTAACAGCCATAGATGGCTGGCTTCAGCGAAACAGTGCGAATCAGATGATGAGTTCAAAGCTGCATAGTGCTCTAAAACTAGGACTAAAACAATAAATAGTGTCAGCTGTCTGCCAAGTTTTTTGTCTGTCAATGTATATGATGCTAGTACATCTCATTACCTATTCCGGCTCATGTAAACATCACACGCACTACAGGATGAACCTTGAGAAATAAAATTCTCTTTGCAAGTTTAAATGCAAAATTCACCATGATGACGAATCTCTTCGCCATTCCAATCTAAGCTCAATTGCTGATTGTGTTGAGATATGACAAGGTTTATAGTAGGGTTTAAACTTGGGAGGTGAGAGAGAACCTATTTTCAAAGACAAAATTTATAAAATTGCCATTCATTATAAGAATGATAAACGGAATCTTGCGAAGGCAAAACTATTGGGCATCACAGCCTTCTATGCCTCCATGAAGTTCAAGCCCTAACCATAGTGGGGTGATGTGTAGCAAGTGGGACTGCACACTGTATTTAATTCTAACATTGTGCAAGTACAGCAGTGTGTGATTGAAGTAGAAGGCAAAGTATGTAGTCAGTATTAATATGTCCTCTAAGCCAATTTGATTCATTGGCACATCACTGGATGCAACAGAAAATCCTACATTGATATAGTGATCTTGAAACAAAATTCACATTTTATTGAAAAAATAAGTGAAAAAACGAAGGAAATCAGGGGACATAATATTTTTATTTGCTTCTACAGTCACCTACACAGTCATATACAATTTAATTTTTTTTCACCCCAGCAGCTTGAAAGAAAAAATGTTATCCATATTCAATTGCTGACATCAGATACAAACAACTATAAACAGAAGAATAGAGTGTACATAAAGACCTACCAGAAGAAGTGTTGCACCAAACATGATAGCAAACACTAAAGGCCCGGCTAGATCACAGTCATGGATGGCAGCTGGATCAGTATCCCTAAATGGATTCATTACTGATAAAGTCTGAAATTTTAAACAAATAATTTGTAGGTAAGGATGAATGGACTTATAAAGAAATGAATGAATGAATTGCAACAAAAGGAAGGTGGAAGGTGAAGATGTACTGTTCACACAGGTTAAGCGATTAATTAGTGAAACTAAAACCATTCAACTAATTACAAATATTCAACTGATTATATCAGCGTTGCAGCAGGTCCATTTGCATTTCAGTTAATTTTTCTGCTTGACGACTGCAATTATCGGTACTCTTTTTAAGAAGCACTAGTTCTATAGCAATGAGCTGATATCAGGTGACACATCTGATGATCTCCGAGTCGCACTAAAAAAACAGACTAGTAGTTCTATAGCAATGAACTTAACAAATGTGGTATATGTGAAACAATAAATAATAACTATACCTTTTGATAAATATGCTCAAAATTGATACCAAGCTCTGGAGAAAAAAAAAATGTCATGAATTAGCGCAGAGATAAGATTCTATAATATTTATTTATCATGTTTTAAATTAAGGTTGATCAATACACGTAAACTTCTGATACTATGACAGCCTGTGTACAGAAATTGTGCTTGACAAAAAATTTACCAGGATTGATGCAAACATACAAATTATTTGTAATATAACAGTTTCAGTTTGCTGTATGCTGATACATTGTACATGGGTGATAGAATGAGTTCTCTGGTGAGAACTCATGTGCATCCACTTCAAACCCACATCAATTTATTATACAAAATGATGATAAAATTAACGTTCATTTTAGCACCTCCAATAAGTTTTTTTTTTTTTACACATGCTGAACAATGGCTAAATAAGCAATCTAATATGAAGCTTGAAAACTAACCTTCTAAAAGTGGTGGTTCATCATCAAAGCTTTCTGTGTATGCTTCTGCTTCTGTGCCTGGCGTCATGATCTGTCCCATATATGGAGATGGTCCTGGCTGCATTGGTGGCTGTCCAAAAGCTTGTTGAGAGTACCCATATGCCCCATATTGACTTAGAAAAAAACAACAAAAACATTTTATGTCATTTAGAGTCTACTAGCTCCAATATACATATACAACCAGTCACAACAAAAGAACATATGGAACAAGTATCGATAAATATATATTGTATGTGAAATACACATAATTAATTGAGTTAATTAAGAATTAGAAGTAGTGTCATGGAGTTTTAACTTTTAATTGTGAATACTGAATAGAATAGGCTTAACAGATAATTGACTTAAGTTGACAGATGTTAAAATTATGTTGGAAAATGACTGATTTGTCATGAAATTATGTCTTGGATGATTCAAGATTTTCATGATGTAACTAAAAATTGTCACTTGATACATTTTTTTTGTCAGGTTATCTTGAAATTCTGCCATAAGGCAATAAGTGTGTCATGGCACATATGAGTCACTGTGAGTACGTAACATCAAGTGAGTTTGTATTATTGTTCTCAATTTTCCTGGACTAAAAGCAAGCTACTCTAGTATATCTATTCTTTGTAATAGCGCAATATTGACATGTTGAGAGACATCAACTACTGGAAAAGGGTCTCTGCTGATATTTATACGGCAATCTATTTATGATTTCTGTTATGCTTTTGTGCTTTTTATTTTTAAAGTTATGAGCTGGATAAAAAAACTTTTATTATTAATATTTTGCATAAAATTATGTGTGAATTTTAATCAAATGAAAATTTATAAATATTAAGTCAGCTGCATGTTGCTATATATCATGCCGAATTAAATTACATTGCTATTTAGCATTTCCATAAATACTATACAGATTATTCAGTGAGGCAGAGAGTACTTACTTGTCCACATATTGCTCTGTGCCACCCATATCATATCCAGCCTGTGGCTGCTCTTCATAGTTGTAGTCAGTTTGATAGAAACCTTCTTGGTCAATTCCTTGGCCTGCCATGCCTAATTACTACTAGAGTGCACACAAACAATAATAAGAAATATATGGTATTTGCAAGACAAATGCAAATAAACCTACTCTCTTCACATTGTTTGAAATAAACTTGTAAGCTTGGAATGAAATAATATATTTGCAGTAGATTTAGGAAGAATACCATGATCTGCACCAAGAAAGCTATTGAATAAAGAATTTGCAATAAAGTCCATCACAGCTACTCTGTCAAAAACAGTGTTCCATCACTAGGTGCATAACAATTATCATAAACTAAAATGGCAAGTACTCTTTAGTCTTAGGTATAAGTGTGTGCAGGGAATGTATGCTATTCTAAATGTCTAGTTGATGAGAACTTCACAAAATGGAGGAGATGCCTGCCTTGCCTATCCAATTAATAAGACTCTCCATTGTACAGTCCCACTCCAGCCCTGCCCCCCAAATGCCATTGTATATAGCCAACTAAATAACTATAGGTGTCCTCGTGTCTTTAGTCTAGACCCCCGTCTGTGTGTGGGGTGCAATAGAAAGTTCGTCTGCAAACTCGTAAAACAATTGTTAAAGACAGCTATGACGAGTGTAATAATATAGCTTTCAGACTCCTTGCTATATTAATATTATTACTACCGGTACTTCATCATGTGTCATTATAGCACACAATTTCGAAATCAGCCAGGGTTGACGCGAGGATTAAAAAATATAAGAACAAGAAAATTAAGATTGTCAAAAACATACCAGCGTCGGACGAGTATTAATTGCTATTAGTAGAACTCAATCCGCCAATTACGACACGGTGACGCACTGAAAATGACAATTTTTCTACCAATATTTTCCCCAATAACAAACCATATTCACCGATTCGACTGGTACATGCCGGAAGTAAAAACTGCGCAACCGCAGAACACGTTTCATGAGCCCCCTAACGGGGGTATTAAAATCACACAGAAAGTGGTTTTGTCTTACTTGGTGTTATCCAAAAAGATAACTACAGTGAATTTAAAATATAATCTGTACAAACACTGTAGTTAGATTTATTTGTCTCATACTGTTAGAATTCGGGCGATCATACCACTGCGATTCATAGTTGATCACCTAGGGTGCATTAAACAGAAGCTTTAGTCCCAGCATCCTTTGCTCGCTCTTTTTGGTCGGCCATATTGACTAGGTTTGTATTTATCGAGAGTGTACCAAAATAATCCAACAAAATCTCTTTAATTTAGAACCATCAATTCTAAATTTCAGAAGACCCATTAAATAAATATAACTGTTTGTTAGGTTTGTTATGTTTTGTGCGAATAAACCTAATAGAAGGTTTTAAAAACTGTCGTAAGTTTACCCTCCTCGTCATGTCGATCTTCCAATTTCTCACATGTCAACATCATGTTTTCAGTGTCTAATTATATAGAACATTCATCAGGTTGTTTATAATAGAGCTGAGCTTATATTTTATTTGACGCGAATAATAATATGCTGTTCGCTCTTTGCTTATTCAACGGTTTGAGTAAAGAAATACTCGACTGGAAGTGTATACGCTGTGTGAGATTAGAGTCACTAAAATGTATTACTCCCTAAATGAATTCATCGTGAGTCTCCTATAGCATTTAATTAAAATTATGTCGCTAAGCATTTTGTAATGTAAATATGTGCATGAAGACATTCAATTCAGACAAACGAACGCGTAATTTAAACTAAAACTAAATTGGTGATAAATGCATTTATTACTTGTGTACATTGAAATGATGTTGCAGGTACTTTTCTGGGAGCAGTTTGAAGAACTTGCAAAAACCCGAGGGCTGAAATCTAAGTGAATCAATTGTTACCATTTTGGGGATTTACAGCCCTAAGTGTCTGTGGCACCACAGCGATGCTGACAGGGCTCACAACAGTGATATTGATGATTACTGGTTATCCCCACCACACTTTGTGGTTTATACTTGTGGTTTATAATGCGCAATGACTATTTGTGAGAAAGTTGATTCTAATATAATTCTTTGTACACATGTAGCAATCATGAAGACCATCCAGGCAAGCCGTGTAGTGGTATTTCCTGCTAATGGTAAGTGATCCTGGTAAGGTTTTTTCAACGAACATTACTGTAAAAAAAACTTTTTGACCACTTTTAAATAGTTTTAAAAAATGGTTTACCTTTCCAGAATATCAAATTGCATCGAAATTTAGATTAAAAATCAGTGATTACAAAAATGTCACATAACGTGCATTTGGTGTCACAGCCAAATTTTTGTCAAAATACAGTCAAACCTGTCTTAGCGGTCACCCTCAGAGAACGGTCACCTCTACGGAGCGGTCACCCTGCAGCAGTCCCGTGCAATTTGCCATGTAATTGACACTGCATGGAACGGCCACCTCCACAACGCGGCCAGCGGTCACCAAATATCTAGGTAACCGGCGGCCACTACTGTGTATAACGGCCAGTGTTTTGGTCCAAAGCAGTAAAAATGGGGAAGAGACGATAAAAATGCGTTAAATCAAGACGGTCTCTCGATTACTAGTATACAATGAACAGTTGCACTGACCGGCGACCGCCGTCAATCATGCAGTTCATTTCACACGTAGGGTACTTACACTAGCAGGGAACAGACTGTTTATTTCCTCTGACATGCCAGTTTGTTTCAATTGAGTAGCCCATTTGTAATTAGGTGTTTTAACACCTGAAAACAAAACCTGAACAGTGACGGGAATTATAAAAACAATGACCACGCTTTT